TGTTCAGATGTAGGACAGAGTGACATTAATGGTAATGACGTGGTAAGATGTGTTCAGATGTAGGACATTGACAGTAATGACGTGGTAAGATGTGTTCATATGTAGGACAGTGACATTAATGGTAATGACATGGTAAGATGTGTTCAGATGTAGGACATTGACAGTAATGACGTGGTAAGATGTGTTCATATGTAGGACAGTGACATTAATGGTAATGACGTGGTAAGATGTGTTCAGATGTAGGACAGAGTGACACTAACGGTAATGACGTGGTAAGATGTGTTCAGATGTAGGACAGGGTGACACTAACGGTAATGACGTGGTGAGATGTGTTCAGATGTAGGACAGGGTGACATTAATGGTAATGACGTGGTAAAATGTGTTCAGATGTAGGACAGTGACATTAACGGTAATGAAGTGGTAAGTTGTGTTCAGATGTAGGACAGAGTGACATTAATGGTAATGACGTGGTAAGATGTGTTCAGATGTAGGACAGGGTGACATTAATGGTAATGACGTGGTAAGATGTGTTCAGATGTAGGACAGTGCCATTGACGGTAATGACGTGGTAAGATGTGTTCAGATGTAGGACAGAATGACATTGACGGTAATGACGTGGTAAGATGTGTTCAGATGTAGGACACAGTGACATTAACGGTAACGATGTGGTAAGATGTGTTCAGATGTAGGACAGAGTGACATTAACGTTAACGACGTGGTAAGATGTGTTCAGATGTAGGACAGAGTGACATTAACGTTAACGACGTGGTAAGATGTGTTCAGATGTAGGACAGAGTGACATTAACAGTAATGACGTGGTAAGTTGTGTTCAGATGTAGGACATTGACGGTAATGACGTGGTAAGATGTGTTCAGATGTAGGACATTGACGGTAATGATGTGGTAAGATGTGTTCAGATGTAGGACAGAGTGACATTGACGGTAATGACTTGGTGAGGCTCCAAAACCATTTTAGTATGCCCCTATTTATTGTACTTGCATAATTTGTTCTTGTTTAATTCAACAATAATAAATGAGAGGGTTATTTTATTCTTCTTACAGAAGAAGTTTGCTGGATAAGACCAGTATAATAACAAAAACAATTCATCCATAGTTAATCTAATCAGAGGTTTAATGTTTTTCTTTATACTATAGTACAATTTATCATCAGTAGATGATGAGCTAAAGATAGAATTGTTTAAATGTTTTCCACTTCAATGTTTTTAGTACCTTTTTTTTGCCATTACATTTTAACTAATTACACATTTATTATCTAACACGTATTCGAATAACTAAAAGAAAAACAACCTAGATTAACCTTCAATATCAAAAGTGGGGTAATTAAATACCTGTTTGTGACTGATACTGACAGTCACATTTTTATGCGTGATCCTGGAGTATAAATAAACATTACCCCCAAATTTTTGAAAACAGGTTGGTTTACTAACCAAACTGGGTACATATGAGAGTGTTTGGTTAGCACCTGTCTCAGCAGTAAGTGTAATATAGCTTAGAGACAAACTACACGTCAGCAGAGTAATGAGGACATAACCAGGGGAAGAGGGATTTTTGAAAACAGGTTGGTTTACTAACCAAACTGGGTACATATGAGAGTGTTTGGTTAGCACCTGTCTCAGCAGTAAGTGTAATATAGCTTAGAGACAAACTACACGTCAGCAGAGTAATGAGGACATAACCAGGGGAAGAGGGATTTTTGAAAATGGAGCAACATGTTGTCATGTTGCTCAATTATTAAATCTATTGCAAAGTCTGGTCTCCCACACGAGGAGTCAATACCAAACCAGTGGCAAGATCGTGATGGTGAACATTGCAAAAGGGTTAGGGAGATCATCATATGCATATTTAGTTAGTCACATATATATATTACTTGCCACAAACAGTACCAAACTGAAACATTACATTCAACATGTAACAGGGCGTTAACATTTCTACACTGGCAGCTGGTTTCATGTTAGGAGGTCAAGACCGTAACACATCCATGGATGGGCTAGTGATTACATCAAATAGAACATCAGTGATTTGACATCATTCCTCTTCACTGATAAATCCAGATTCTATCCTGCGTATACTGAAAGGCATGCCAGGATCTGGAGACAAAGTTGTGAATGTTGTTTGTTGCAGAACACGATAGAAATGGAGACCGATCTGTCATGGTAAAGGCTGGAATCAGCATACATGGAAGGATGAACCTCTAGTCATCCATGGTAGGAGTTAGGTACCACCTGATACTGAGATTTTATGCTGATGAAGTCAGAATCAAGCTTCATTTTGACTGATGACAATGTCTGCTAACATGAAACAAGTGTGAGGATGTACTAGCCAGCAAGGTCTCCTGACCTGGACCCTACTGGACATACTTCGGGCATGCCAAAAAAAAAGTTGATAATGGCCCACACAGTCAATCCAGGACTGAGCATGAGCTTCAGGAAGAGCCCAAATTCCATAGCAATATATAACGTGCCTAATTAGTGAGATGTATAGGCACTGTCATAGTGTCTCTTGGCAGACATAACACAGTGCTGTTCAAGTACAAATGCACAGGGAGTGATTATTTAAGAAAAATTAATAACTATGAAATTTCACAAACACTGTGTTTTTTGAACTTTCCATTGTTATATAACAAAAGATTATCTAATGATAAAATAAACATTCTAACATAAATATCTTTAATTAAAAACAAAACTATAATATTTTCAAGATACAAAAGCCAACTTTCTGTCACTAGAAATGACAGACAAAAGCTTACAAGCTGGAGGAGAAGAATACCTAACTTTATGCTAGAAAATATGACTATAATTACAAAAAAAACAACAGCAAATTAAAAATAAAAATATCTTTACTAAATAGTGTAAGAATAAAACAAGTCCCTCATTTGGGGAAGAAAACTACATTTATAAATACAGTATTACAATGTCCTAACCCTCCAAAAACTAAAAAATGATCCAGTACCCTGTCAGCAGCACGGATCTCTTGCTTCGTTCTTCTTGCCATGGGACTGCTCGGCTGTACACTAACTGTACTTCCAACACTTAGAAGAGATTTAACAGGGTGCTTGTGAAATAGTTTCGGATTTAAGGTTCCAAATTCTTGATAGGTAAATTCAGCATCTTTTGGAAGTCCAACAGGTTCAGGAGGAGTTATGAACACAGTTCGGTCACTTTTTTGATGTTCATCTGACTCCAGAAGGTGATGTTGATCTGGAAGTTCACCGGACAAATCAACTTTGTCTGTGCATTCATCAAAGAAAGCTAAACTCACATCTTTGTCTGACACAAAGGATCGCTCTTCAATAAAGCGTATAAACATCTGTGTCTTCATCAACAAACTGTAAAACCTGTGATAGGCCTTGTCCCTGCTCTTTATAAATCCTGCAAAGCAAAATAACAACTGTAATTAGATTGTAAAAAACAGAAGGCAGAACAAATATTCCAAGTCTTGTTTGATGCTAAATATGATTGGGATACACTGCCTAATCAAATATTCCAAGTCTTGTTTCATGTTAACTATGACTGGGATACACTGCCTAATCAATTATTCCAAGTCTTGTTTCATGTTAACTATGACTGGGATACACTGCCTAATCAATTATTCCAAGTCTTGTTTGATGCTAACTATGACTGGGATACACTGCCTAATCAAATATTCCAAGTCTTGTTTCATGTTAAGTATGACTGGGATACACTGTTTAATCAATTATTCCAAGTTTTGTTTGATGCTAACTATGATTGGGATACACTGCTTAATCAATTATTCCAAGTCTTGTTTGATGCTAACTATGATTGGGATACACTGCTTAATCAATTATTCCAAGTCTTGTTTGATGCTAAATATGATTGGGATACACTGCCTAATCAAGTATTCCAAGTCTTGTTTCATGTTAACTATGATTGGGATACACTGCCTAATCAAGTATTCCAAGTTTTGTTTCATGTTAACTATGATTGGGATACACTGCCTAATCAAGTATTCCAAGTTTTGTTTCATGTTAACTATGATTGGGATACACTGCCTAATCAAGTATTCCAAGTTTTGTTTGATGTTAACTATGACTGGGATACACTGTTTAATCAATTATTCCAAGTTTTGTTTCATGTTAACTATGACTGGGATACACTGCCTAATCAAAACATGAAACAAGACTTGGAATAAGCTATGATTGGGATACACTGCCTAATCAAATATTCCAAGTCTTGTTTCATGTTAACTATGACTGGGATACACTGCCTAATCAAATATTCCAAGTTTTTGAGATTGTTTAATTTTGTTTTCTATTTATGAAAATTTCACAATAAAAGTATTTTGATAAAATTTGGCTATATTTTTCCCACTACTTAATTTTATAATTAAGCAAATCAACCAAAAATAGAAATTCAAATATACCTTGACCATCAAAGAGAGAGCTTGGATCCGTAGCTTTTACAGTTGGAGCTCGAGTTATCGGAAGTAGGTAGGATCGGAAACCTTTCAAAATAGCTGCCATAAATCGAAGAAATGCTTCTTGGATTTCCAGCTCCAGCTGGTGCTAAAAGATAAGAAAGAGCAACTGAAATTCAACAAATCAGATGAACATTTAAAAAAAAATCAAACTAAGTGAGATTAATCTGTTTTAATGTAACCCACTAGACTGATATCTGGGGAAAATAGCTTATTATTTTATCCATAGAAAAATCAACAAAATTAAGATATTTAAATTCTGTTTTGTTTTTACATATGATAATGCTCAAATCTTGTCTTAAACTACCACTCTTCTTTTACAGAACGTTTGTGTATGATACCTTTGTCATCAGGCCTTACAACAAGTACAGAAAAAAATTGTTTTCCTAAACAATAAAGAAAACAGGATATATATAGGCCAGTATACACAAACACCCAAACACAACGATACCTTCATTACCATCCACATTCCATCAAATGAAGAATCATCCAGTCTTTCTAAAGTAGAGCTGAAAATATTGGTGCTCTAGACATTGAACTCCAGTAGATCTTATGAACTTTCAATAATGGTTAGAGACAGCTTGAATGGGTAATGAAGAAAAACTTTAATATAAGTTTAACATAACAGCAAATGTACAACGTATATTAAAATTTTTCTTCATTACCCATTCAAGCCGTCTCCAACCATTATTAGTCTCAAAGTGGGTTCCTCGTCATCGAATTATGAACTTTCTGTGTAATCATTACAAAGGTTACTCCATTTGTTGATACTGTCAACTACAGACTCTTCGTCATTGCATACATGCCATGTCTAAGACAGAGAAGTTAAAATATACAGTCAAGCAAGTTTAACGGAGAAATCCCCACAAAATTCTGAAATCCATCCTCATACTCAACAAACAGCGACTACCCATAGGAAAACATTTAGGAGATAAGCTCAAAGAACATGATGATAAGAGACTCGTGATGACACTGAACTCCACAATTGTGGAAGACTATTTTAAAACTGGACACACCTACAAATGGGAAGACTTGAGACTTTCTAGACCAAGAACAAGTTCTGTAAGACCCAAAACAATCAACATATTAACTATAAGAAAGTAAGCAAAAGAAACAGATTTAAAGGCAAGCTTAGAAGTAAGCAGCCTATGGTACTCCTTCTTAAAGTTAAAGAACAAGTCAACCAATCTTTCAGAGTCACTGTTTAAACATGCACACAACACAGCTCTCTGTGCCAGTTCTCAGTCAACACTCCCCCAATCAAAAAGGTTCAAATCTTCACCTTCTTAACTCTTTCAGCACGGGCTCGGTCCCAGGGACTGACTCATAACAATTTTGTTATAATATTCATGCTATAACTTTTAAATTAGTAAGCGTATCTTCACGAAATTTTGCATATTATCAGTAAACACTACAAGGCTTAGGTAAGTAAAATGTCAGATTTTTTTATTAAGTTTTAAGATTTTTTAAGTAATGTTTTTCTCGTGACTTTTTTTTTGGAATGTTAACTATCCAATATGCAAAGTAATTTTGATTTTAAGATTAAAAATACTTTTATGCATCAGAAAATTTTCAAATTTCACATGCGAAGTCTTTATAACCTCCAGAGAATTATCAAACATATTTTAAGAAAATTATTTATATTTTATCTGTTATTTTTGCTATCAAATCTCTGTACGGGTATGGTCAATTTGACCAACCTTGTAACCACCATAAAAAATTAAGAAATAAATATAAATTATGCTTTTTTCGTTCTAGAAAGACTATATATAATAACATGAAAATTCAAATGTTTAGTCTAAATAGCTTCAATCTCATAACATTATACATTTATATATATATATATATATATTTATTATATTTACCTTTCAGCCATGCCCGACTAACATAACAGAAATTGAAATGACGTGGCGCAAGTTCACTCATGTTACCATATCCAAGAATATAAAACTGTCCTTTACAAAGTGACCTGTCTTGGCTAGTAGACTAGTATTTTGTGAAATATGATCACATTCCAGTTATAATACATTGTATATGTATGTACATTATTACTATTTACAAATAAGTTCTTAAACTTATTTTTCTCAAAACATAGAACAGTAAATAAAGAAGACAAGCAAACAATTGTCTCTTATAGTTATGACCTTTGTACTCGTTTGCTGCTTGCCATAGGTTGCTAAGCCTTATCAAATTTTGCACATGAAGGATATGAAATAAAATAATTTGTTTTAAGTTCTGAAATAACCAAATATAGTAAATTACTATATCAATACCATAGAATCCCACTATAATTTATCAGGCTTAGTAACTAAGTTGTATTTCGGTCTAAAAACTATGAAATTTGGAGCTCACTAAAGTCTTACCTTATCGCTTGGAATCTAGAATGAAAAGGGTTTGTCACCCGAATACTTCAAAGAGGATGAGAAAGCCACTACGGAGACATTTTGAGCTTTTTACTGGTTATTTACATGTCACTGGGCAAAGTAGGTATACATAAGAAAGTGTTTCTAAAAATGGAAAGAGGTGGGCAGGGCCACTGTGTTTGATTCAGTAAATGTAGAAATATCTCAACAAATAGAAAAGATAGGAGGTTTTTATTTTATATTCTAGCTTGTCAATATCAGTAATTTAAGTTCCTAATTCGTAAGAAACTATAGACTTTGTGTTTGGACATCAGAAACATCTAATTTGAACCAATGCTGCATTCAACATACCACGTAACAAACAAAAATATTTAAGTTTTTTTAATATTTACTTTTAAACTAAGAAATTAACCAATGTATAATATTAAAGTTTGAATTATAATCTACAATTTGATACCAAACTTACTGACATAAATTCATCAAATAGTAGTTCAATAAAACTTTGAATGAGAGTCAATAAACACGATGACATGGCCTTTGACCTGTGTCAATAGGGTTAACAGAACTTTCTTTGTAACAAACAGACCTGAAAACAGTAATAGATGTCACCACTCAACGGTTTCTTCACAACTAAAGATACTGTGAAAAAGATCCAGGTTTTAAACAGGCTGTTTCAGTCCATAATTGTCCTTATTAAAAAAAAAAAAGAATCCTTTTTGCACGAATAGTTACAAATATACTTGACTCACACTTTTCTCTAAAAATGAGCATTCATAAGACATAGTTTAATATCTTTTTTTGTTCTCTAACTAAGTCCAGTGGCATTCCTTCTATACTACACTTGTACTTCTTCCTAAACATATTAATTTAACTAAGTCCAGTGGCATTCCTTCTATACTACACTTGTACTTCTTCATTCCTTCTACACTACACTTGTACTTCTTCCTAAACATATTAATTTAACTAAGTCCAGTGGCATTCCTTCTACACTACACTTGTACTTCTTCCTAAACATATTAATTTAACTAAGTCCAGTGGCATTCCTTCTACACTACACTTGTACTTCTTCCTAAACATATTAATTTAACTAAGTCCAGTGGCATTCCTTCTACACTACACTTGTACTTCTTCATAAACATATTAATTTAACTAAGTCCAGTGGCATTCCTTCTACACTACACTTGTACTTCTTCCTAAACATATTAATTTTCTATACCTCTTTTTTCTTCATCTTGAAGTCGTGGTCCATTGGTGCCATCGTCTGTGAGACTTCCTGGAGACTATGAGCTTTGTTTGCCCAAGTCATCTTCCTCATCTTGTCAGACAGCACTTGAAGAGTGTTCTTTAGAACTCTGGCAGGACGCTATAGAAAAGAACAAACATAAATCCAAAGAAACCATAAGAATCACACATCAATGAGAATAATATATTAAACATTTTTTACTCTACCTGCTTCAAGCATGTTTTATTGTCATCTTTGTGAGAAGTACAAAATGATTAGATGAACAGTATATAATGCCACCGTGACTTTGTGAGAAGTACAAATGATTAGATGAACAGTATATAACGCCACCGTGACTTTGTGAGAAGTACAAAATGGCTAGATGAACAGTATATAACGCCACCGTGACTTTGTGAGAAGTACAAAATGGTTAGATGAACAGTATATAACGCCACCGTGACTTTGTGAGAAGTACAAAATGATTAGATGAACAGTATATAATGCCACCGTGACTTTGTGAGAAGCACAAATGATTAGATGAACAGTATATAATGCCACCGTGACTTTGTGAGAAGTACAAATGATTAGATGAACAGTATATAATGCCACCGTGACTTTGTGAGAAGTACAAAATGGCTAGATGAACAGTATATAACACCACCGTGACTTTGTGAGAAGTACAAAATGATTAGATGAACAGTATATAATGCCACCATGACTTTGTGAGAAGTACAAAATGATTAGATGAACAGTATATAATGCTACCGTGACTTTGTGAGAAGTACATAATGATTAGATGAACAGTATATAACGCCACCGTGACTTTGTGAGAAGTACAAAATGATTAGATGAACAGTATATAATGCCACCGTGACTTTGTGAGAAGTACAAGGTGATTAGATGAACAGTATATAACGCCACCGTGACTTTGTGAGAAGTACAAGGTGATTAGATGAACAGTATATAATGCCACCGTGACTTTGTGAGAAGTACAAAATGGCTAGATGAACAGTATATAATGCCACCGTGACTTTGTGAGAAGTACAAAATGGCTAGATGAACAGTATATAATGCCACCGTGACTTTGTGAGAAGTACAAAATGGCTAGATGAACAGTATATAACACCACCATGACTTTGTGAGAAGTACAAAATGATTAGATGAACAGTATATAACACCACCGTGACTTTGTGAGAAGTACAAAATGGCTAGATGAACAGTATATAACACCACCGTGACTTTGTGAGAAGTACAAAATGGCTAGATGAACAGTATATAACACCACCGTGACTTTGTGAGAAGTACAAAATGATTAGATGAACAGTATATAACGTCACCATGACTTTGTGAGAAGTACAAAATGATTAGATGAACAGTACATAATGCCACCATGATTTACATATTTGTCACTTCTGATTTTTAGGATGAGGAAATAGAACTAAAATATTATTTATATTGTGTCAAATTCTGCACAAAAGTCAACTGATTAAAATGGTAGCCAAACAAAATCTTTATGTTAAACAACTTGTAATATTATTGATTTGAAAAAGGCAACCATTTCTTCAAAAGTACTTTCTGTAAGTAACTTCTGTTCAACAGATATCCCAAGAATTTATGGTATAAAAGTTGTTACTTCTCAACTGTACAATAGATGACCTCTGGTGATAGATCTGTGTTACACAAGTTCATAAGTTTCTTTTCTAGTTTTGAAACTGAATTCACATGTTTCTTAACAGACTGTTTCGTTTTATCACTACAATCAGAAATGACTGTTTAACCATGTTCATTACTATAAACCCAGGTTCACATCCCTACTTATTCTACAATTCCTACCACCCTAAGTTTACACCATGTTCCGTTCAATACTCACAATTCCTTTGTTTCAGTCGTGTTAACAATAAGGACAGTGATTTCTTCGCTATGGCTGATGAACTATGTTTTTCTACAAAAAATGATTACTCTGTTTTCGTAATTGATAATACTCTTAATAAAGGAGTTTCGATTTTCTCATTGAAATGATAACGTACAAAGAGTATATCACTTTTCATAACATAAAACTTAGTGAACCCATCAGGGAAAATGTCATATTTTCCATAATGACTCTGTAAGAAATATTATTTTCACTAATTAACACACAGTGATATTCTTGTATAAGCTAACTTATATGACTCTGATGAACGTTTCACAAGACCTGGATGTTACCCTTGCAACCATTTGTGTTTTTTTATAGTAAAGCCACACTGGGCTAGCTGTTGTGTCCACCATGGGGAATCAAACCCTGGATTTTAACATTGTGTGTAAACTTACCAACGTAAGATAATGATAATAATAAAAATTGTAACATTTCTTTACCTTTGGTAATAATTTGCTGTTCAGTCCCTTTTTCTCCTCTGCCCTACAACATTTAAAAAAATCAGCTGTAACTTAATATCCCAAATAATCAATGTTTGTGTCATCACGATTTGAAAAAAATAAAATGAAAATTCAAAGAATAAGTAAAAAGCCTTAATGGCAATATTTCAATGTACAGTTCAGCTGACTTAAAAGCAGATATACTGCAAATTTATTTTACTGCCAAAAATTCAAACACAGTCCGAATGAAATATTGTAATAAAGATATAATGCTAATAAATATCAAAACACACAATTTATTGTAAAGAAAAAGTCAGTCTAAGTTAAATAGGAATCAATGAAACTAAGTTGAATGGACAGCAACTGTCTGTTGTATTCAAACACAAGTGTAGAGGATGACGTTTCAAAACTCTTCTGCCTTTCATCTTCAGGTCAGTGCGTGTATGGTGTTGTATGTCTTTGTAGTATTGTGGAGAGCATGTTATGATTGGTTGGTTTATCCATGTTTATAATTGGTGGAGAGTTCCTGTAGATTTAGCCAATGGTAAGCCACATGTTATATTATGTTCATGTAAAATGGTTCTTTAATTTTCCAGAATTTGTCTGTGTTGGTGATTCTAGTTGTTTCCCAGTATATTTTGTGTCCAGTTGACATGGTGTGTTCTTCAATGGTTGAATTTTGTGTTTTCATGAACCTTGTACTGTATTTATGTTCTTTTATTTTTTGTCGCGAGTCTTTGTCCCGTTTCTCCAATGTATGTTTCGTTGCAGGAATACGGAATTTCATAAATTATGTTTTTGTGTGTCTCATTGGTAGGAATTTTGCTTGTTTTTTACCAGAATGGATTTTAATGTCTTGTAACACGCTCTCCACAATCCACCAAAATACTATAAAGACAACGTCATACACACACGGACCTGAAGACTTGGTTTTTTCTGCATTAAATATTTATGAAAGAAAGTGGCATAACTCAAGGATCAAAATAATTAAAATATTATGGATATCTGAATTATTACTTTTATCACACTATCTAATTTAAAAACACACATCTTACAAAAATATGTTATTTGTATCCAGGTCCACACAGGCGACCTCTTGTGGAGGATCATGCAAGTCAAAATAACGGGAATCCACCCCTGGAGAAAACAAAAAAGAAATTATCTTAATAAACAATAACTTGCAATCAGCACATGCATTTAATGAAGACATAACTTTTATTTTTAAGTATGTTACCAACACAGAAAGCCAAGTGTAGACATCTGTGCTATTTAATTTAAAATACACGGTTCTGATACGAACAAGGAGTTGGCCTAAAATATGGAATACAACAAAAAGCTTGAATAAATAAAATATTAACTATGAAATATTATATATTTCCTACTTGTGCGCTTTAAAATATAAATTTTATTTATTTCAATATCTATATATTATTGCTAATCAGAAACACAAAATAGTTTAGCATGCTCTTGGAAAACTCAAAATGCTGTATATTTAAAAGAAAAGGATTATTGAGGTAATACTGAAAAATAAAATAAACAACAATACAACTTTACTGAGAAAAAGTTACAATAACCATGGTAAACACACTTGAACAATGTATTAATGATAAACCATTATCACCTCAATAATCGTGCTAACCAATTATTATAACTTACCTCTCCAACAATATAATGATACACAATTAATGACACTTGCTAACATACAACAATCTTGGTACTCAAGTTATAGGGTTTTTTTGTTATATATATATAATACACTGACTTTGATTAACAACCAGTCCTACAAGACATTAAAAATAATTATTCTTCACAAATAGGTATTAGGGTATATTATAATAACTCACCAACAATGAATGGAAGAGGTGCACTTAACACATCTGCTAGTCCTAATGGACACAAAGGGATGTAAGGACATTGCCAATGAAAAGGAAATATGAGCTAAAAAATAATAAACATGAAGGTATTAATAAAAGCATGAGAATACGATACTGAACAAACGTATTTAAAGAAGAACCTTCTTCAAAGGAATATAGTTATTTTTCTCATCAAAAAGTATTCTCAATAGATATATATATATATATATATATTTAGATGTATCGTAAAAGAAAATTGGTAAACTGTGTACGATAAAATTAAACATTTTCACTTTAATTTGTCCACATATTGCTTGAAATGAAACGTCTCAAGATAAAAATTTTTCTGAGATTTTCAAAGATGTCTCATCTAAGTTCTCTAAATATAAATCTATTTCATGATCTTATCTTGCTAATAATGTTAATAGTAAAAGTACGTAACTCACAGAACAAAGAATAAGTTAAACTACTCATATGGTCGTTTACATGCTCTAGAAGTGACTGCAGTTGAAGTTTGGACAAAATAAAATGCTCGTAATATTTTTCCTGTTCAAGGTAGATAGTAATGCTACTTGCATGGTAGGGAATATAATTATAATTATTTAAAATTAAATCAGGTTCAACAACACTATCAAAATCCCTAGCAATGGAAAATACAGTCTCATATCTATAAAACAGAGCATTTACACTACCATCCGACAGCCTCAAAACCTATACATCAACAACCATGCAGTTAGTTCAGAACTCTGTACACTATGTCCACATGATGTTATACATCATGGAAGCCAAGACACAATCTGGACTTATCTGTAATAAAGACAGGATCCTAACTGACATCTGTACTTATTGACAACCTGGCAGCAGTTTTGGTAATAATTTCTCAAGTCAGTTAGAGGTTACATCTTTCAGTCTATCTGTGACGTTGTGACGCCTCTAGCTGACTTGAGAAATTATTACCAAAACTACTGCTGGCCAGTATTACGTCACAACATCACAGATAGACTGAAAGATGTAACCTCTAGCTGACTTGAGAAATTATTACCAAAACTACTGCTGGCCAGTATTATTACATCTTTCAGTCTATCTGTGACGTTGTGACGTAATACTGGCCAGCAGTAGTTTTGGGAAACTGTCAGTCAAGTCTCAGAGCACCAACAGTGTCGTGTTCTCAGACACCATTTCTTATCTGGTATCTAGTATACAGCCTGAAATTACTCTTTGTGACACAAATAGCAAAAGAACTTTTGAGTATGTTCACTCTTAAGCTCCGTTTCATCAACAAGACATTCAACTAGTTATAAACCAAGACACACTTTGTACTGTAGTGTTTAAACTGTGTGGAAGTGGAGGAAGAAAGATTAAATTAACACAAGTAAATAAATATTTTTAGTTCAAGTATGAGAAAACATAAACAACTGAAAATGATGAACATATTTCTTTAAATTATGAAATTAAAATAGCTAAGCTTACATTGTTACAAGTTCTAAAATATTTCCAAAATCTTTTTAACCTTACAGCTACCAAATGGAAGTCCATATGGTTACTACCTGTTTTTTAAACGCATTTTTCAAAACTATTTATACACCAAGTTGCTCATTGGTCCATGACTTTTTTGGTTACAGGGCCATAATAACATACGAGTCATCCAAACAAATCTAAACAAAAATTCCATCAATATCATACTTACTTCCAATAATCAATTCTGGATATTTCACAGATGAAATTGTGATTTTATCCACATTTTTTGGTCAGTTCTTTACAAATGAACATAAAATTACTTGATGATATGTAGAAACCATTGGTAGGAATGACATAGAAAGAATCAGTAAGTTACCGTGACAACAGCTTCAGCAACGCTCGTAAGGACATCGGGGCGTAAGGAATGAAACAAGATCTTCTGTTCAGTCAAGGCAAGCAAGAAAACATTGAGACAATTATCAGGACCTAGGTTTCTGAGCAATTGCCTGAAAGAAGCTCCACTGTAGGAATAAAATCGCTTTCGGTTAAAGCTCCATCTGGTATTAAAACACTAAAAGTTGTGGAAATATGTTAAATCTTATTTCTTACTGAACGTCTTTTTTTTGGCTTTTATACATTTTGTAGAAGAATGGCAAATCATTAGTTGACCACCACAATAAAAAGCTTTTTGAAAAACTTATTGAAATGGGAATTACACTTTTGGAATCCAAAAATAAATAACTATTAGAATAGCTGATTAAAAAAACACTTCTCACCTATACCTCATCGTATCATATTTTTCCCATGCACAGTACTTTTGAATATTAATACGTACCTTAGAAGTAGTGGATTATCTTCAGGTTGAGCCAGAGAAATAGTCTTATCAGCCAACTAGAAAAATGAAACATTGATAACTTTTCAAGAGTTTGGTCACACAAATGACAAATGTATTAAATCATAAAAATAATCAACATGACATAAATGTACAAACTAATTTATGATAACATAAATTTTCAAACTTTTGCAAAAATAGCAAATAACAATACATTATGTATTTGTGTGGAAGTACATAAACAGACACACAAACGTATGCATGATTAATGTAGATTCAGAGAAGAAATTTCTTATTTATAAGCAAGAAAACTTTTGTACAAAGTACTATTCAGTTGATATGAAGGGTTATATAAAAAATACAGTATACATACTGGCATTTTTTTTTGACCAAGTAGTTCACAAAACTGACCGATTTTCCACTACATATGTAGAAATAAGAAACCCATAATTTGGGATATATTCAAACAGATTTAATAACACTTTTACTATAACACACTTGATGTGCTGAGTGTTTGAAAACAAAAACCAAAACCATGACTCTTGTATTCGATGAAACGTCCATTAATCACAATGCAGCCAATTTCAAACTAAAAGTAAGAATTCACATCTGTTATCTTACAATTTTGTTTTATCATCTACATAAGACTAAAATAAAAAACAAAGTTTAATGAATCTCCACACACACACTTTTATTTAACACAATAAGTAGATTAAAAAGACGAAAAACCTTGTTTTATCATCTTAGGTGTGTTAAATGTTAGCACTGAAATCATAATTTGAAACAATAAAAAATTCAGAAATACCTGGATAAGAATCCGTGGGCGTTGGCCTGAGGGAAAAGGGACATCCATCATGAAGTGTGAAATGTACCTGTTATATATCGTCAATAACAATCATTAATTTAAATGATTAAACTACAAGTTATCCAGTTGTTTCGTGTTACATTAAAACTACAAGTTATCCAGTTGTTTCGTGTTACATTAAAACTACAAGTTATCCAGTTGTTTCATGGTACATTAAAACTACAAGTTATCCAGTTGTTTCTTGGTACATTAAAACTACAAGTTATCCAGTTGTTTCATGGTACATTAAAACTACAAGTTATCCAGTTGTTTCATGGTACATTAAAACTACAAGTTATCCAGTTGTTTCGTGGTACATTAAAACTACAAGTTATCCAGTTGTTTCATGTTACATTAAAACTACAAGTTATCCAGTTGTTTCGTGTTACATTAAAACTACAAGTTATCCAGTTGTTTCGTGTTACATTAAAACTACAAGTTATCCAGTTGTTTCGTGGTACATTAAAACTACAAGTTATCCAGTTGTTTCATGGTGCATTAGGTTACATCTAAACAAATTGAATACAGTGGTTCTTAAGAAATTACAACTGAAAAGAGTTAAAACTATATGTCTCTAGAGAGAGAAAAGAAAATCTAACCTTTCAAGGGGTACTCGGTGGGGGCCTGTGATAGATGTTTGGTGTAGAAATAGTAGAAACTTTTCAAACGTGTCAAAGAATGGCCATCGGGAGAGAATACAAATAGCTTTATTTGCATGCAAGCCTTTTTTATTTCTATCATCTTCCGTCATATAGCCCAACTGAGATTTGCATATGGAACTTAGTTTCTCCTCTGGGTATTTTTCGTAGAATGTAACCGCTGCCCCATACACCTGTGTAATACCACATATCTTAATATTATATCTCCAACATTTTAACCTGTGTATTACCACATATCTTAATATTATATCTCCAACATTTTAACCTGTGTAATACCACATATCTTAATATTATATCTCCAACATTTTAACCTGTGTATTACCACATATCTTAATATTATATCTGAGTGGTGATGATGTCTAGCATGTGTAAATATATACAAGTGGTGATGATGTCTAGCATGTGTAAATACTAGCATGTGTAAATATATACGAGTGGTGATGATGTCTAGCATGTGTAAATATATACGAGTGGTGATGATGTCTAGCATGTGTAAATATATACGAGTGGTGATGATGTCTAGCATGTGTAAATATATACGAGTGGTGATGATGTCTGGCATGTGTAAATATACGGGTGGAGATGATGTCTGGCATGTGTAAAACATCATCACCACTCGTATATATTTACACATGCTAGACACTGGCATGTGTAAATATACGGGTGGAAATGGTGTCTGGCATGTGTAAATATACGGGTGGAAATGGTGTCTAGCATGTGTAAATATACGGGTGGAAATGGACATCATCTCCACCCGTATA